ATCTGGCAGTTTGTACATCCCTGCCCTCTGCATTCAAACCCATTATACCACACCATGTCATATTCTAGGCGTCTGCATGGTGCTGCAGCCATGGACTGTCATAGTCTTTGTACTTCAGTGTGTCAAGGGGGTCTGCAAAGAAGCTCTGGGCCATAGCTCAGTGGTAGAACTTCTGTCTCAGATCTACCAGTGAGGTGCTGGAAACATTGCTAAGTGATAGGGTGCTTGTCTATGATCTACCAGCCAGGGGATCACTCATGATACTTGCTTAGCAGGCAGGAGACCCTGGGTTCAGTCACTAGCATTCCTAAAAATAAGTAAATATATCACATAAAAGCCAAAGAGGAGGTCTGGGTGGTTCAAGTCTCTATTCCCAACTATTCTGCAGGATTAGGTGGAGTGAAAAATAAAGAACCAGGCATAGTGATATACTCCTTTAATTCTAGCACTAGGGAGGCAGAGACAGGTAGCTCTCCATGAGTTTGAGGTCAACCAGACTGCATACTGAGACCTTGTCCCATATAGATGATAGACAGACAGACAGACAGACAGACAGACAGACAGACAGACAGAAGGAAATAGATCCAGGTGTGGTGGCACCTTGTGACTCAGAGGCAAGAGAATCATAAATTTGAGGTCTGATCTGAATGAGACCCTGTCTCAAACAAAACAGAATCATGCTGGTGGTAGAACTATGTTGCCTAGCCTGTGTGAGGCCTTAAATTCAATCAGTCCCCAGGACTTCAAAAAGTCACTGTCATTATAATCAAGCTCACTCTTCTCTAATTTTTTTTCTAATCCCCAGGTCATTCAGACCCTGGAACCCAAGCAGCGGCCACCCACTGGGGTGTCCCCGGGACTCCAAACCCTGAGGAAACAGCTGTGGGAGCGGAACATGCGAATACGGCACCTGGAGGTAGGTATCCTCACGCCCCCAGGCGGCCATCAGCACACCCAAGCCCCTGACTCTTGCTTTCCTGGCAGATGGACTATGAGAAGAGTCGGAGTCAGCGGGAGCAGGAGGAAAAGCTGCTCATCAGTGCCTGGTACAGCATGGTAAGCGGGCTACCTCCACGGGCGGTGTGTCAGGCTCACACGGCTTAGGTAGGCTCACTTACACCCTGTCAATCATACCATCTCTCTAGGGTATGGCCTTGGAGCAACGGGCTGGGGAAGAGCAGGCTCCTGCCCATGCCCAGTCCTTCCTGGCACAGCAAAGACTGGCCACCAACGCACGCCGAGGACCCCTGGGACGCCTGGCTTCTCTGAGCCTTCGCCCCACTGACAAGCATTGACAGATTTCAACTCCTGCTGCCTGCTGGAGTCCTCCAGCTCACGTGGTACCCAGCTTGGGGCCTTGACCTTGACTGAGTTGTGACTTCTGCCCTTTGCTTCCTTAGATGGGAGAGAAGGGGAGAGGCAGGTAGCAGGTGGTGCAGGCCAATCCTTTTTAGCAATGTGATTCTTATCCTTGATTCTTCTTCTGGGTCTCATACTACCTGGGAAGAGCCTGATTTTATATTTGAAAATAATAAAGATTTTAAATCTATCGTGAATGGACTCTGAACACCATGGTAAGAAATAGAAAGTGGGCTAGGGACACAGACTGTTGTTTCTAAGAAAGCCTTGTCTTGTCTTGCATTCTTTTTTCCCTCCCTCCCTTCCTTCCTTCCTTTCAACATTTTTTTTTTTACATATATGAGTGTTTGAGTGTTTTGCCCTTGTGTGTGTTTTTGTACTATATATGTGTTTGGTATTTACAGAGGCCAAAAGAAGGCATCAGATCCCTGGAATTAGAGTTAAGGATAGTTGTGAGCCACCGTGTGGGTTCTGGGAGTTGAATCTTGGTTCCCTAGAAGAGGAGCCAGTGCTCTTAACCACTGAGCCATCTCTCCAGGTTCTTGTCTTGCATTCTTGTGGGATTTTTGCGTGTTTGTTTTGTTTTATTTTGTTTTGAGACACGGTTTCTCCCCCTGGCTGTCCTGGAACTCAGTCTGTAGACCAGGCTGGCCTAACTCACAGAGATCCGCCTACCTCTGCCTCCCTCGTGTGAAGATTAACGGCGTGTGCCACCACTGTCCAGCTCCAGCTTTTCAATCCTAATAAAGTATGCGTGACCAGTAACACAATGACAGATGAGAATGCTAGAGTTTTTGTTGTTATTGTTTTAAGAAGCTGGGAGACTGCTCTGTCTAATCATGCATGAGCTGAGTTTAATCTCCACCAACTACAAAAGCCTTTGATGGTGGCTGCATGTGCCTGTAATCCCCACTTTGAGGGGTTGGGGACAGATCAAACTTGAGAGCACACTGGCCAGTCAGCCTAGTCAGAAGCAGTGAGTTTCAAAAAAAAAAAAAAAAAAAAAAAAAAGAGGTCCAGGAAGGCAGGCCTGGCTAGGAGGCAATATCATTTAAGCAAGCATATAATCAATCAGAGGCTAGGGTACCCATCTAGACACCTAGGGAAGGACAGACCAGACAGAGGTACTAGCATGTCATGTGCAAGGCCCTGAGCTGAGAGCTTGCCTGGGGGGCAGAGACTGGAACCGGGTGAGGAAGAAGTGAGGGAAGGGAGGTCCTTAGGATCTCGCTGACAGTGCGAGGACGTTCACTTTGGTTCTAAGTGGGGGAAGAGCCCTAGAAGACTCGGAGGAAGCATGTGACAAACTTGGGTGTTGGTAGGTGCTCTCTGGTGGCTCATGCAGGAGGTGGCAAAGCTGAAGGGACAAGCCCAGAACAGAGGTCACTGTCTAGGTGATGTGTTGTTGTCTCTGGCCAGGGTGAAGAGGGGCGCTGATGTGTGGAGAGTAGGTTAGAGCCTTTCAGGTTTGGTGGTGGTTAGGACTGGGTGGTGTGGTTGAGAGGAAGGAAAAACCCCAGTTAGTATGATTTTGGCTTCATTTTCTGGAAGAACACACATGGTCCAGATTGGGGAGCCACTGGGAGCTGATTTGTGGGATTTGGGAGGGAGGTGATCAAGGAAACTTCTAATTGTCAATTCAAAAGTCAGCGGCATCTAAGAGCAATTCAGTTAAGGCCTGGAAAGCCAAGCGTAGCAGTCCACGCCTGTGGTCCTAGCCCTGAGGTGGTTGAGGCAGTAGGATTGCTGTTGAGTTTAAGGTCATCTAGGACTATATAACAAGCTTTAAAACATAAAAAATAAGTAGCCAGGAGGTGGTAGCACATGACTTTCTTTAATTTCAGAACTCAGGAGGCAAAGGCAGGTGGATTTCTCAGTTTGAGGCCAGCCTGGACTACAGAGTGAGCTCCAGAACAGCCAGGGCTACACAGAAACACTGTCTTAAAAAACAAAAAATGACACAAAGAAAGGAAGAAAGAAAGAAAGGAAGGAAGGAAGGAATGAAAGAAGGAAGGAAGAGAAAGAAAAAGAAAAATTCCTGCACTTGGTAGGTAAGGGTAAGATCAAGAATTCAAGGGTTGGAGAGATGAATCAGAGGTTAAGAGCAATGGCTGCTCTTCCAGAGGTCCTGAGTTCAATTCCCAGCAACCACATGGTGGCTTACAACCATCTGTAATGAGATCTGGTGCCCTCTTCTGCCTACAGAGATAAATGCAGGAAGAACACTGTATACATAATACATAAATTTTTAAGATCAAGAATTCAAGGTCATCTTTGACTTTATAGTGAGTTCAAGGCCAGCCTGGGCTATATCATTCTCTGTCTAAAAGGAAAAAAAAAGCAGTTTGGAGAAATGGCTCAAATGGGTAAAGGAACTTGCCACTAGGCTTGATGACACAAGTTTGGTTCTGGGAACTCACATGGTAACAAAGAGTTAACTTCTAAACGTTGTCCGTTGAACTCCACGTGCACACACACACATACACACACACACACACATCACACATGTTTGGTAGAAAAAAAAATAAACAAGGTTAAGAGCACTTGCTATTGCAGAGGACCCAGGTTCAATTCCAGTACCTACATGGCACTCACAACTATCAGTAACTCTAGTTCTGGGAATCTGATACCCTCTTCTGGTCTCCAGGGGTACCAGGCATGCATGTCGTACACATATACACAAGCAGGCAAACATGTACACAAAATAAAAACAAACCTTTAACAAATAAGAAAGCTGGGTGTATCCTAGCACTCGGGAGTCAGAGGCAGGTGGATCTCTTGAGTTTGAGGACAGCCTGGTCTACACAAAAAGTTCCAGGACAAGCAGAGCTGTATAACTGTCTTGAAGAAACAAAATAGGGGTCAGAGAGATGGCTCAGCAGTTAAGGGCACTGTCTGCTTTTTCAAAGAACTTGAATTTGATTTCCTAGCACCCACATGACAGCTCACAACTGTTTATATCTCCAGTTCCAGATCCATCATCCTCTTCTGGACTCAGAGGAACCAGGCAAACAAGTGGTACACAGACTTACATGTAGGCAAATGCTCATACACATAAAATAATAATTGCCTAACCAAGAAAAAAAATTAACAAAGCAGGCAAACCTGTCCTGCCTGGGCTGGGGGCAGGGTAGCACAGTGGCAGAGCCCTTGCCTGTCTTAGCTAGTATGCAAAAGGACCTGGGCTGCATCCCCCAGCACGGTACCCACAGGATCTTCAGTGCTGAGAGAATCTGAGGTTGCTTGGAGCAAGGGGAAAACAGTTGACAGTGGCTAACTTTGTGATGAGTGGGCCTGGGGTATAGCTCTGTTCCCACGACTCATCTTTCCTGCTGAGAGCTCTGATCACCAGGTAGCATTTCTCTCTCACTAGTGAATAAAACCTATGTCAAGAAAGTCTGGAAGGCGAGGGGTGGTGTCGGTTGCCTTTAAGCCCAGCACTAGGTAGGCAAGGGAGGTGAGTGTGAGCTCCAGGAGAACCTAGTCTTTGTCAGGTGGTGCAGGCCAGCGCACAGTGATACCCTGTATCAAAAAAAAAAAATATCAAATGATCCGGCTAGAGACACCACTTCAGTGTTAACCATTTATTGAACACGTACTATAAACCAACTGCTTTAAATTCACCGCTTCGTTTATTTTTGTTTTAATCCTCATAAATTCACGAGATAGGCACTCAGAGTTCCACTGGAAGGAAACAACCCAGGTTGCTGGTCAGGTGCTGGTGTTTGGGAAGTGAAGCCACTTAAAAGAAGCTGGGAGTAGATTAAAAAAAAAAAAAAAAGCAACAGCAGCTGTGAGAATATGGACCCCTAACACCACTGGGAGACATAGCTGATCAAAATGGGCAGGTCGACTTTGTGCAGGCCTAGCTAGCCTGTGCAGACTTTGGTGGTCGTCAGCATGCCCTGTACAGGATTGGGTGTCCATCAGGGTCCAGGTTCTAGGGTCTCAGGCCGGACTCTCTTCCTCCTCTCCAATAGGGCTGGGCAGCCATGGCGGCGCTGGAGCCCGGGGCCCTGGAATGGGTACGGTGGTGAACGATTCAGCCGTCGGCCCCGGGATGGGGGCAGGTGGTTCAGGACATGCAGGGGGCTCGAGCTCGGGCTCCCGCAGGCTGGGGTCAAGCAATGGCTCTCCACAACCGCACTCAACCCCTGTGTTATCCGCTGCGCCTGCACACCCGCAGCTGGCCGCAGTGGACGCCTCTGACACGCAACTGTTCTTACGCCGTAGCAGAGACAGGCGCCGCCCCAGTGGACCCATAGAGCCCGCACCCAGTGGCAGGAGGCGCTGCAGAAAGTCCCCGTGAGCCTCTCCCAGCGGGCCGTCCACGCCGTCCTGCCGCTGGAACTGCATGTCCTCCTTAGCCAGCCTGCAGGATGGACAGGGGTCAGCACTGAGGCCTCGCTCCTTTGCGTTGATTTATTACTTCCTTTTAGATTTTTTGTGTTTTTGTTTTGTTTTTCGAGACATGGTTTGTTTGCGTAGCCTTGGCTGTCCTAGTACTAACTCCGTAGACCAGACTGGCCTCGAACTCTGTAGATCCGCCTGCCTCTGCCTCCTGAGTGCTGGGATTAAAGACTTGTGCCACCACAGCCTGTCTAGTTTTCTGGTATTTGTTTAGTTGTTGTTGTTTTATTTTTTAAGTAGAGGGAAGGTATATTAAGAAAAAGAGAGGAGGGCTGGAGAGATGGCTCAGTGGTTAAGAGCTTTGCCTGTTCTTCCAAAGGTCCTGAGTTCAATTCCCAGCAACCACATGGTGGCTCACAACCATCTGTAATGAGGTCTGGTGCCCTCTTCTGGCATTCAGGCATACACACGGACAGAATTATGTACACATAAATAAATAAATAAATATTTAAAAAAGAGAGGAATTCTCAGAAGAAATTCCAAAGGAGAAATATGTTCTCTCTCTCTCTCTGTCTCTCTCTCTCCCTCTGTGTGTGTTTATGTGTTTGTGTATGTGTGTGTGTGTGTGTTTGCTGTTTGTTTTGACAGTATCACTGTGTAGCTCTCACTGGCCTGAAATTCACTATTCAGTCCAGACTGGCCTCAAACTTGGTAAAGGAACCTCTGCCTCTGTCTCCCCTGTCCTGGGATTGGCTACAGATATGTGCTATCAAATCAGGGGCTATTTAATCTGTCTATCTATCTATCTATCTATCTATCTATCTATCTATCTATCTATCTACCTACCTACCTACCTACCTACCTACCTACCTAGCTATCTACTTATCTCTGTCTGTTTAGCGGTGTTTGAGATAGAAGAACCTCTGGTCTTTCCCTTCTTGATCCGCAAAGGGGGGTCCGAAGCATCTGAGATTTACCTATCTCCCCCCACTCCTTTGTGTCCCTCTGAAAGACCTAGCCATACCTGGTGCTACCTTGTCTCGTAAGGTCTTTAGATCTGCCCCCAGTCTCCAACTGATTACCAGTTCGCACCCCAGTCACAGCCCCGAACTTGATAGCCAAACTCCTGATTTCCTTGGCTCCACCTCCCGAGTGCTAGGATTCCTGGTTTACGCAGCCTTTCTGGGTCAAAGAACCTAGCTTGATTTCTGGAGTACCTGGATTAACCCCTTATACCACAGACCCTTCAAGGTCAGCAGAGCCCTAAGCCACGCCCACCGCGCTAACTCACGTTATATCAAAGGTGGAGCCCTGGAAGGAGGGCTGCTGCCGCAGGAAAGCGGTGGCCGCAGTGTAGGGCGCGCGAGCCTCGGCCGCATCCCAGTATAGATCTTTTTCTAGCATAGCCAAGTCGTCATACATCTCGTCCACGGCTAGCATCGACACCTGAGGATGTGGACACGCAGGGTGGGGTAGGTGGAGCCCTCATGGTGCGTGATCAAAGAGAGAAGGGTGTTTAGGGTGAGGCCTAAGCGAGTCTGGGACCACTTAGGAAACCAGCCACGAAGAGGAGACTCTGACCTGGAAGTTGCGGTCAATAAGAAAGTTGGTCTCAAAGTCGTCGTCGTCCTCTCCAAAAGGGTTGATGAGCTGCTCTGCTACCTGAGTACAGAGAAAGAGGCAGGTGGAGCTTGGAGAATCTTTTCATACTCCACACTTTCGTTCCGGGCCTCCGGCCCCACCCACCTTAAGCCAGCCAGCGTAGAAGAAGAACTGCAGTAAGGTGAAGATGGGAATGCACAGGTCCAAGGTGTGGTCTTTGTAGCCCTGTGCAGGGTCTAGGAATTGACGGCCGATGAGGCAAGCGAGGAAGTAGCTGTACACTGCGATGGTCACTACCTGGGGGCCAGGCAAATAAAAACGAGATCACGTCTGACCCCCCCCACCCACCCATGTGCCTCAGGGAGTCTTAGAAAGATCAGGACCAGCAATGAACAAAAGGATGATTGAGTTTTAACTGACTTTCAGTCCCTACACTCTTTTTAATTGAGAAAGGATCTCGCGGCCAGGCGTTGGTGGCACACGTCATTAATCCCAGCACTCGGGAGGCAGAGGCAGGCGGATCTCTGAGTTGGAGGCTAGCCTGGTCTACAAGAGCTAGTTCCAGGACAGGCTCCAAAGCTACAGAGAAACCCTGTCTCGAAAAACCGAGAGAGAGAGAGAGAGAGAGAGAGAGAGAGACTCTTGCTATGTCACCTAGCCTGGTTTCAAGCTCTGGGTCCCCTGGGTCCTCTAGTCTCAGCTTCCCGAATGCTGGGAACAAATGTGTGCCATTATGAGTGACCTCCATTTTCCCATAAGAGGAATAGCATCTCCTATGCTAAGTATAAATGGAGGCACAGAGAAGTTACCTGGGTGTAGACGAGGGGTATGCTAATCCAGTCGTAGTGAAACAGCATCCCACATTTGCTCCGAAACGCATTCAGCTCCTGTGGGCAGATGTGAGTCATGAAGGGGTTGAATACGGAACTCACGTGGAGATTAAGTATGCATACGCGGATGGAGAGGGTCACATATATTAGGCGAGGGTTTCCAGGAGCTACAGGGTGTTTGGTGGTGATGTACAACTGGGTGGAGGTACCATGGACTATAGAACTGCCCCCAGGGAAATAAGTGTATTGGTAAGGGTGTTTGGAATACGGACGCGTGGCACAGTTTCTCTGTTATTCTAGAAGAATGACTTCCTTGCAGGCTCACCTCCAGCAGCAACTTAAGGGCACTGTTGTCACGGATGCGCCCCTCTCGCCGTGCCTGCGCCGCCAGGTTAGAGAACCACACGCAGGGCACCCAGTACTTGTTGTAGGATGAGTTTAAGTTCTCGAACTTCTTGCGCTCCTCGCGGGTCATAAATCCTGGAGGGGTGTGATCCGGAGTTACTCGCACCGCTCCCCTGTCTGGCCCTGCCATCCTCTGGTCAGAGACTCACCAGCCTCCACCACGTGGTCTATGGTGGGGAATCGCTTGAAGACGGCTGTGCTGACGGACCTAAGGATCAGCACCGCGGAGAGCCCTGCGTAGCGCATGAGCGTGCGCCGGTAGAGGCGGCCTCGATCGTCGCGCCCGTGCACCGTACCGACCACCACGCACATGAGTGCGTCCGGCAGGGGCATGCACAGGTACTGGTTCCACCAGCGATGCACCACCAGCGTTACGTAGAAGCCTGAGGGCAAGCCAGAGACGGAAGCTTAGCAGGGATTCAAGGGCCAAGAGTCTGGGAGCCCAAGTCAAGGAACTGGGATGACCTAGAGCTCGTATCACAGACATCTGGAAAAGGCTGGTCACCCTGGCCACACGGGTCATTCGGCCTAAGCAGATATCCGGCCCTGGCATTCAAGAGGTTGGAGCAGGCTACGGTATCCTGAGATGGGGGAATTGTATCCCAATATGGTAGTGGAAATCTAGGGCCCATGTTAGGGGTATGAAGGAACATGTTTATGTTCCTCTGACCCCAGAGAATCACTGGGCTTGGGGTATCTGGATTGGAAATAAGGTGAGGGTACTGGTGTGTGGAGGTGGAATGTACACCAGGGGCATCTAGATAGATTTACAACAGCAGCCACTTGTAGTCCCTGAACCTTGGTTAGGAAAGAGTTTCGCCCTGAGCCTGAGTTACATGAGTTTCAGACCAGTCAAGGTTACACAGTGAGAGACCCTGTCTCAAACAACACACACATAGAAAGAAAGAGTTTCGGTCTTATGTGAGAGGGAGACCTGGACAGGCTGGTCATTCCATCCTTGTGATGGGAGGGTCACGTGAGGTTTCTGTGGGGCTAGGGGCCAGGCTACATTTGAATGGAATCATATTTGGTCCCTAGAGGATAGTAATCTGAGACAGACATAACTAGTAACTAGCGATAAGTTTGTGGGTGAGGTGACGCTCCCGTGGGGGCACCTCGGAGTGTACCCTTAACTAGGTGATATCCAGTGTCTCAGGATGTGGGGCCATATGGGCATCTTCAAGGTGTGGATTCAGAAGTGGAAAGCCCTGGAGGTTCGATTTGGGTGAGGTGCTTTAGAAGGGTAGGAATGGGGGTCTCCAAGAAGCATGGATGGAAAACAGATTTCCCCTGTGAATAGGACACTCAGGGGGCGCAACCTCACCAAGCACGAAGGAGACGGGGATGAGGCTGGCGTACTGGTCGCAGTACATGACAAGCTTCTCGAAGTAGCGTTTCTGCTCTTCTGCCAGTAAGAAGCTGCGGGACAGGGAGTGCAGTGGCTACAGGTCTCTCCTCCACTCCCAATCCCCCTCCACGGGACACAGCTCCCCTGATCCCACCCCAGGTATTCTTACCGATAGGCGGCGCTCAGCGCCATGTAGAGCCCCAGGAAACACAGCAACTCTCGCCACAGGAGCTTGTAGATGCTTCCGCGCCACAGCAGCAGCAGCTGCGAGAAGCCACCGAAGCGAGCATTCGCCACTCGGGCTGTATAGGTCACGGTCATCGCCGCGCCGGGCCAGTGTGGCCAGTGGAGAAGGGGTTAGCCTGGACCCCGGCCTGTGAGCCAAGGGGAAAAGGCTGGGAAGGGGTGATCCTGGGAATTTCAGTTGCAGGTGCAGGCGGACATAGCCACTGTCCTCACTGCACTGGGACTGTCCCCACCCCCCTCCGGTTCCTGGCTCTCTCCCGAACTCCCTTCTGTCAGTCTTGCTCTCTCCTCCCCTAGACTACTGGTCCAAGCCTCTTGGATTTTGAGTTAGATCTTCCACCTCCTAAACCCTTGAATGAATCTAGTTAATTTTTGAAATGCCTCACACGCTGCCCCCCCCCATTCCTTTCACCTATACAGCGCTCAACCTTCTTGACTTCCCGAGTCCTCAGTTTCTAAATTCTCAGAGCTTCAACAGCCCTCTCCACTTAACTCATTGCTCACTCTCCCAACCTTGGTTCCCTCTCTCCACTCCCTTGAGCTTACAGTCTCCCTTTGCAGACTGGGGTTACTATTCCCCTCAATCTGTTCCACAGCCTCCCTATCTCCCGATAGGAACCAGCCCATTCTGACCCCTACTAAACCCTTCCTCTCTGACTCCTTCGGTTCTACCCCAGACCCTCCTCTGCCACTTTTCCTTTCTTGCTGTCCCTCCTAGCCTTCCCCAATGTACCCCAGGAGTCCAGTCCAAAACCTGCCATTCCCCAAGGTCCTTTATTCTCCCAGGCCTGGTCTTTCTCACCTGTGTTGAGGGTGGCAGTACAGGGACAGACAGGGAAGGAGACTGAATGGGAGGGTGGCTTCAGTGTTGGGTGGGGCTGAAGCCAGACTCTGTGCAGGAAGGGACCTGGGAAATGGGCAGCCCCTCCCAGGTCCATCCTCTCTAGCTGAGCTGCAGTCTCAGAGTTTTGTTTGGAGAAGGTCTGCCAGGTTGTCTCCTGGGCAGGGGGTGGGGTGTGTGTGTGTGTGTGTATGTGTGTGCTGCCTGTACTTTCTTGCTCCTTTTTGTCTCCCTCCCTAGTAGGGAGAAGGAATCTACAGCTGGAAGAGAGGGAAGAAGAAGCTCACACACACACACACACACACACACACACACACACACACACACACACA